GAAAAACGTGCAGTTGAACTTAATAATAACTCCTCTGCACTCACCATACTACTCCAAAATAAACTTAAACGCTCTAAATCGAGAGGGAGTATATTCATTAAAGGCAAACAAGTATACGAAGATCCCAAACTTATCACAGAATTATTCAGTGAACATTTTTGTTTCTCACTAACTAACGAAAAACCATTTAATGATTCAGAACCAATCCCAGTAATCCCCTGTGAAATTACTAATGTAGAATTCAGTGTACAAAATATCTCCAAGGCAATCAGTACATTGAAACACTCCTACACTGATGGACCAGATGGTATTCCATCTAGCATGCTAAAACGTGGAGGTGATGATGTGTGTTTTGCTTCTCAAACTATTCGCGATATCACTCTCTTCAGTGTGTTACCCTACTGCCTGGAAAACTACACATATCATTCCCAAAATTAAAACAGGACCTGAAGCAAACGTTGAAAATTACCGGCCTATAAACATAACTTCAGTGGTATCCAGAGTGATGGAAAAAGTAGTTAAGGCGGCTGTAGTCCAACATCTATTAACTAACAATCTCTTGTCGACCTCCCAGCATGGATTTCTTAGGTCCAGATCATGCGATACATGCCTAGTAGACTACCTGAATGATATAACTCTGAAACGAGACAGCGGACTCCTTGTATCAGTCCTATTCCTAGACTTTAAGAAAGCCTTTGATAAGGTCCCACACAAAAGGCTACTCGTCAAACTAAAGTCCTTCGGAATACACAACCCACTGTACTCATGGTTTGCTTCGTTCTTAACAGAACGTAAACAGATGGTAAAGTACAATGACTGTCTCTCGTCCCCTAGACCAATCACCAGTGGAGTCATCCAGGGAAGCGTATTAGGGCCACTTTTTGTTTCTTATGTATATAAACGATATATGTAACACCATAGAATTTGGGAAACCGTACTTATATGCTGATGATCTCAAAATAGTATACAACTATAAGCCTGAGACACTAAGCGAAAGTGTATCCCAGATCCAAAAGGACCTCAATAACTTAACTATATGGAGTGAAAAATGGCAATTACCATTTAACCTCAACAAGTGCGGGATCATGCACTTTGGAAAGCATCCCTATAAACCGCGACTTCACTTAAATGAATGTATAGTCCAAACACTCGAATCAGTACACGATTTGGGAATTAATTACACAGGAAGCCTAAACTTTGAAGAACATGACTCCTCTATTATTTCTAAATCTAGACGGCTAATTGGTTTTATAATGAAAAACTTTTTCATAACAGAGGGTAAACTTACTCTCTACAAAATATATGTACGACCCACCCTTGAATACTGCTCTTTTGTCTTCTCTAATATGAATATCGCAGACAAGATAAGAGTAGAAGATGTTCAAAGACGTTTCACACGTCAACTACTAGGATGTAACTCGAATCTCGATTACACAGACAGATGTAAGCATCTATCTTTAGAACCTTTATGGCACCGTAGGCTAAAACACAATTTAATATTTCTCTACAAAGCGATATATGGGCTCTCCTTTCTAACCTCCTGCCCGACTATCACCCACGACCCAGCCTATAGACTTAGAAACAACGCATATACATTACTTACCGTAAAACACCAAAAACAAATGCGTTGTAAGTTTTTTGCTGTACGGTATAGTTTATTGTGGAACAAGCTTCCAGTGCATATCCGTAACTGTGACGCTTTTACCACATTCAAAAGGTTAATAACACTGTTACTAGATTCTAAAGAACTTCAACATTTCCTTGAACTCCCGCCCACCAATGAGGCACTTTATTACGGACTGCTTAGTATCTAGACATAACAAGAATATAACGAGCGCGACTGTTATTAATATGAATATAACCAAATCACAGAATATAAGGTTTATCCTTTTCCTATTATTCAATGTTTATTAATCATGGCCTTATGATCCTAACCCTCACTTTCAGTTCCCAAATCTCTCTACAGGTTAAATGTACGTTATTCTTCCTAAAAGTCACGCTTTTTTTCTATTGCAAGTAGAGAGATAACTCATTATTCTTATGGATGCTGATCTACTAAGGCCGACCATGCAAAGCTCAAAATTTGGCCACAAAGTCTTGTGAGTTTCTAATTGTTTCATTTTTCTTACCCTAAAATCTTTTTCTTTTTTCTTTTTATATTTTTTCCTACAATTTTATACCCTCTCTTATCCTCTGATTTGCTATTAGTCCTTACTTCTTTAAACCATTAGTTATCTCCATAGTAGTGTGATATAATATGTGGACATCTAACCCATAAAACAAACTTTTTAACTATCTGATCTGCTTGTAACATGAACCTAGTAGAGACAGTGTATTCCAACTATGGGCTTTGATTAAAGCAGTATTCATACTTACCACAAACGTAGGAGAGCCTAACATCACAAAAGGAGGGAGGGTGGCGTTACTGACCAGCAAACATGATGGTGGGGAGATAACTTCAATCCACCCATGTCTGTAGGGCAGAACGTTTTGTTTAATTACGGCTCCTTATGGTTTAGTGGCATGTCACGAACTTAAGATATTAATGCTGATTTATCATGCAAAATACCTCTTTAAATTGTGGTACGAACGTTGAATTGGTTTCACTTCCTACCCAGTAATCCTATTACAAGCAAACTAGGCAATTCGCTAATATACGAAGCCTACTCAAGATTCTATGATACCTAAAAAAGTAACAATAATACAAAAAATGAAAAGGGCTCCAATAGCTTCAATAAAAAAGGAGACAGCCAATTGTATATCACAATAATGTTTTTAGCACTATAGTTTAAAACCACACATAATCCCATACTCTCAGCTCCTTTCTGAATCGCCTCCATTTGTCAGTTGTATGTAGCTTATCAGTTGTAGCTTGTCGGGAGCTAGTCGGCGTGCTTTAGAGAATACAGGTGGTCCTGTAGTCGTGATATGATGTGTAACGTTGCTGGTTACACACGGTAGTTTCGGTTGCGTTTGTTGTATCCCAGGATACTTATCGAGAAGTGGCTGATAGAGTGGGTCTATCATATGTTTAATTGTGACTGGGGATAATTTGCAACCAGTAAAAGAAGTTGCGCAAACGGATAAATTAGTGTTTCCGTCTACTAGCCTCCATTTGCGCGTATCGATGAGTAGATTATGGTGTTGTAGAAGGTCCATACCAATGATTGGCATAGAAACATCTGCAACAACGAAGATCCAGTGAATGGGTTTGCGTAAACCCACGTTAAGGTGAACGTACCTTTTGCCATACGTAGTGATAGGCTTTCCGTTTGCCGCCTGTAAGTTTAAAGCCGATTCGTGTAGTCGGTCGTTAGGATTTGCCGGGAGAACGCTAACTTCTGCGCCAGTGTCGACGAGGTAGCGAACTCTCGTTGTCACATCTGTGACGTATAGCAGACGGCTATGTTCGCCGGCTACGGTTGCCGTTAACGCGTGCCGGCTTGAAAGTTTTCCGAGTTGTTTTTCGTGTCGGTCGGTTTTGAGTTGAGAAAATTGCAGGGTTTTCTGCAATTTCTGGAAGACTTTCCATACTGGTTATGATACCAACACCAGTCGGGGTTATCCGTCTCTCGTGGTCTAGAGACAGATCGCTTACGTGAAGTGTTTCATCGTGGGGTGTGCGAGCGATTACGGTCGTTACGAAAATTAAGATAACGAGTACGTGTATGACAGAACTCTGTTATGTCATTCTGGGACATTTGAGGCCTTACTTTGCCTGAAGAACCTCGGTATCAGGAGATTTTGTGATTTCTAAAATGCGATCGGCAGATGCAGCCAGCTCGTCTAAAGCGTTGTTGTGGAACGAGACAAGCACAGCTTGCACCTGTTAAGGAAGCTTCGACAGGAAATGTTGTTTAAATAGACCATCATCGAAAGTTCTTTGGCCGATAACCTCTCTCATTCGTTGCAACATTTCCGTCGCAGAACCGTGTTGCAGATCGATGTTATTGAGGAGTTGGTCTAACCTGTCTATCGGTTAGGCCTCCGGGTTTAGGAAGAGAACGTTCCAGCGTTTCGTAAGTTTCACCATCACTAGTAAACATACTAGGTGTTACGTACCTGTTGAATTCCCGCGGTAGTGCCTTGACTACTGAGAGTAATTGTGCACGTGTGTCGATCACGCCGTGCTCGGAGAAGTCGGCTTCCGCGTAGCAAAACCAGGCTTCTATGTTGTCTGGCCAGAAGGGCATCAGTTGAAACAAAGGTGGGGATAAAGTCTTAAGCTTAAGTACTTTGGGGGTCTGTTCAGTCATGAAATATGAAGTACGATAATGAACGAGGGATATATATATATACAAAAAGCACGAAAAAATATCACAATGTATAAAAAATTAAGATAAGGTAATGATATATAGAATTCCGAAAAGGAACAGACTCATAGTTTACGATTTGGTGTACCAGATCACATCGGGGTCACCAATGAAGATGGCACAGATATTCAGTGTTTGACAACGCTTTAGCCAATAACACTTAATATAACTCGTACCCACCAAGAGAAGTCAAAAGACAGAGTCGAGGAGATTGGAAGACATATTTGATGACTATCAATATATCGGGATTGTCTGATCTAATCTTTCTAGCGATTGCAGTAGATGTTGAGCACGGCGTTCCCACTAGTGATCTGGTGCGGATGCACGACCGAGCGCCTTCAGCTAGGTGGGTCCATTAAAACATTTGGGCAGCATCCAATGTCGAAAACTTACAGAGCTATTTATTTTGGGGATTTATTTACCGCTACAAGACTACAGGATGGCCTGACTCTAGATTTCCAATCATCCCATGTAATCCTTGAAGGCTTCAGAATTTAGATGTACATCCAACTATCCAACCAAAGACACTATCGCAAGACCAATGTTATGATGAGAAGTATTCGAATTGATTTGCTAACTAAGAATTCCCAGGATAGCTCAATTTAAGGCAGTTAAAAATTAGAAGTAAATATGACAATATTTCTAAACTGGATAATGAATATGTTGAAAGAAAGGGAAAAGTGTTGACGATAAGCAGGTGTACATTCGAGAAAATTTCGTCGTTTGAACTACGAATTGGATGAGTGAATTTCCATGTTGTGAGGAAAAAAATTAAATTTGCCGGTTAATGCTGAATGACTTATTTCCGTAGTCAACGCACCAATAGGGTAGCTTTCGTTCGACCTACAAGTGCGTAACCATATCCATGGGCATGAGATAGTATTGTCATATGCCTGCTCAGAGTTAATTTACCTGTCGATGTTGTTGTTAAGCGTATCAATATATTCTTCAAGTTTAATCCCATTTTATTGTTGTGATTATTGAAGGTAAGTTATGGCTGCAGCATCATCAAAGATGACTCGTTAGGTAATTGTGTTACGTTAGATAATTGTTCATCGCATTTGCTAACGGATCTTATTATTGGCAATTGTACTTACCATAAATTTCGTTCTTTGGATATGTGTGCACTTATCAATTGCCAAAGAGCATCTTCTAAAAAATCCAAAGCTAAAATATTCAATTATTTCTGCAAGGAATTATCGGATGTACTTGAATGTGATCCTGATACCATTGAGAGGACAGATGTCACTTTTGTTGTTGGTCAGAATGTTTATCATGGAAACCAAAAAACAATTTCCATATTGAGTGAGGAGCTGAAAAAATGCTTTCAGTCAGAAAGCGAAGACTTCGATCACAGCTCTACACATGGTTGCATACTGAAAGTAACTAGATCAAAGTCTTCGTCTTCACTCAAGGTGTTTATTGATGCATCTGCGGACATTTTTGAAGCGGTATTAAATTATATGCTTACTTTAAAGTAAGTTTTGTTTATAGGAATCAAGTTTTTCGAATATTCGTTGTTTACTTGTAGCAACTGTTTTACTTCACTTGACTTGTAATAAATGTATTATTAATACTAGGAGTTTGTAGCGTATTTATCGTTTGCATGGAATGATGTTTTTTTTTACGGTTGATATTCATTTTAAAGGTTTGATATGTAAATTAGTTATGAACAAATCTACCCTCACGTTCTTCATTTCAGAGAACTACTTAAACTCAAATCCTGAACACGTTCAGCATTCTTTGAAATTTTCGGAATTTTGAATGTATTTTGCCTAGTGTTTCGCCACGCACAAAAGTTTAGCACATTTATGTAACATTAAAATGGTTAAGAAATTTGGTTTTATTTCATCCCTTATATGTTGTATATTAGTGAACAACGGGAAGTTTGTGAATTTTCTGTTATTATCCACAGCAGCACGTTTCTGCAGTTTAAAGTATCCAATTTCCCTAAGTGATGGTATTTAGATGATTTAACCGAACTTTTGTTAAGATGAGAACAAGAACATCTAAACCACATTCTTGCGCATACACTAATTAATGAACGTTGCCTATTAGCGAAAGCGATTAGACTGTCGAGTTTCCCGAATTTTAAAAGTCGTCGGAGAGGTTACGCTTCGTGATCTGGTGCTGAAAATATCAGGTACGTTAGCTAGGGAGTACTGGTTTTTTAGCAATTAGGTACCAAATAAAACGTTTTACGCATAAAATGCACTTTTCGTACTCTATAGCAGTACACCGTATGTAGTACGTTTTTTCATGTCACCGATAAAATTTTTTGTAGGATTCTCATATTCCCATGCTCCTTTCTGTACCACTAAATCCTATGGTCAAAATAGTGAGTGGATTATTTAAACCTTATGTTTTAAATATTATCCTATAGTAATGCTTTTTTTCGTTCAGGTATTTGTTGTGCTGTGAAGGGATTAATTGTTTGAACCATTACAGTAATAGGACCTAGACTGATGCTGATTCATTCACATCCCATTAGAAATTTAGTAAATCCATATTTCAAGGTAGCTTCTTTTAGCAAATACTCATATTTCTATATTATTCAACAAAGCACATTTTTAGTAAGTAGGTTTCAATATACTACACCTTTTTTATTAGACAGTGATTCGGTTTATCCCGACAATGTGGTAAAGTACTTAGTTTCATATGTAGTAACCATATCAACTAGTGGTAGTTAGTACTTTCTGGTCTATCAACATTGGTTTATCTACTCCGTCTGTCATCGTAGCTTCCTAATTAAAAACTTTTCCACTTATACCAGGCTTACTGTGCCCGAAGACCTAATACCACACGTTTACTATCTGTCAAAATGTCTACAGATCAAAACTTTGGAGACAACGTGCATCGAGTTTTTAATTCACAATTTATCAATCAACAGTGTTGGGGGTAAGATTTTAAAAAAAATCACGAGTTGCTGAAGTTTTTTTTTCTAACTAATATTCTTTAAAAATGTTAGATTTTCTTGTTCAGCTCTACTTTAATTCCAGATCCGTTTCATTTATTATACTCTGGATATAATTGACTTCTTGTGGTTAGGCAATATTACAATGGTTATTTAAGAGAATCTATGACTTTATATGCTATTTACAGTTTAAATTTATATAAACTTAATATTGTGTTGAAAGATGTTTTTCATAGTGTTGGTTCTAGTTGTCATTTACACAACGTAGGATCTGGCATAAATTGTCAATTTCTCAATACTCGAAACTTCACATCAATATAAAGCGAAAAAGTTGATAAGATAAAAAGTGGACAAATCGAAATAGTAGTAATATAAATGGTAATGCATGTCTGAACATACAGAATATTGTTCCCTAAGAACAAGTGAGATTGGGTAATAAAATATACAATGATATGAAAAATCAAGATTTGGAAGAAAAAACAAAATGAAAACATCTGTGACAGTTGTAAACCTTATCAACTAAGGTTTCCAGTTAAAGGTCATAATTGTCTGCAGAACTCCATTGAAAACTTCTGAACCTTCCAACTTCGCTCTGAACAACAACCAGTGACTTTATCTCTTGATTTTGATTGGGACTCATACAGACATAAGATGATATTCTATGTAAACATTACCCTGAACATCACTATAAAATGAGGAACTGGTAAAAAACAATCCCAGCTATCAGCAGTCGAATGAAGCCAGCACATGTGGGATTTTAGAATTTTGTGTAACTAAATATGATGAAAAAGTAAATATGTTGATGAATTAGTAACTTATTATGACATGGGCTCAAAATATGTGGAGTCTCATTGTTTATTCGGTGCACCAAAACGATTAGTACTCCCGTACAATACATGCTATTTCACCAGTATAATATTCCACACTAGTCTTCAGCATTCGGGTTGTCGTCTTTGTAGATTCTTCGCAGCATGTGTATTTTCTTTTACTAAAGTTCTATTACTTAATTTTTCTGTTATTAACTATAATAAAACGCATCTAGGTATATGCCACCATGGACATGCCTACCAGATCTTCAAAATTATTAAAAAACATACTCGGAGTTTGCTAGGTCAACCTCATGTCGTTTTTCCTCTTGTTTTACAGAGTAGAAGAAAGTTTTATTTGAGGACTTGACGTAAATCACCAGAAAACTTTCCAAATGTTGGCATTTAAGTAGTGGCTATTAATATAATCTCAACACCTTAAGCACTCTGTTTTAAAGACTGATTTGTCAAATCAGATTTTTACAACTATTGACAACATGGAATAAGTCATTTAAGTCGTTTTTTTGTTTGTGCATGCATTGAATAGCAATTGAACAACAAAATATGTCACTTATATATTTAGGCATCACTGTAATCGAGGAATAACATATTGGCGATTATCATGTCCTGCATAATGTAGTTACATAATGTGTGGAAAGTTCGCACACCATTCTGTGAGCTACCGAAATCTCAATTGTTCTCTCTATTTTAGCGGTAGCTTACTGTTAAGGCATTCGACTTTCACCCACTAGGCTACAGGTTTGAGCTCCCCTTCACCTACTTCAGTATAGGCAACTGGTTAGTATCATTAGCCCTCGCACTTAATGTGTGGCTCATACCCAAGTACCTAGTGGATGAGTCAACTTACTATTGGCAAATCAGTAGACGCATTTAGTCAACGACGGGTATTTAATTTATCTGTACGCTATTACAAAACGAGTTCATCAGTGTGTCATATGTGGAACACAAAGTACCTACTTTGTCCAGAAAGGAGCTCATGGGGATTTCAAAAGTTTTGCAATAACTTCTGAAATCAGCATAAGAACATACGAATCTGAAGTAAACCTCTTAAGAGTATCTGATTAACATAGCTTGTTTTTAATATTGCGTCTTACATCCTACTGTTTCTTGTACAGTTCTGTGTAGCTTTATTCAGTTCAGTGGGGTTTATCAAAATAGTAATGAATTTGCTACAAGTCTCACATCTTATTCGCCAGAAATGTGCCTAACAAAAACATTACACCACTACTTGTTAACGGAAGCAGATGCCATCGCTTGTTCTCAAACAGGAATTCTTAGTGCTCGTTTGATAGTAAACCTTACAGGCAATTTCGATTCATCAGATGATCAAAATGGAATTCAAGAACCTTCCAACGAATATTTAGCCGTTGGAGTTTTGCGATGGGCATTTGAAAAGTTATTAACAGGCGAAAGACTGGCAAGGGCGGGAAGTGAAGATAATGTTTGTTCGGACGATGAAGAAAGTGACGGGAATGGCAGCAGTCATGCTGTTGGGAACTCTAATGGATCACAGCGTAAACGAGCAGGTAGTCAATTTCAGTTTTTGGCTCAAAAAAATTTGCTAAATGGAATTCGTTCAAAATGTGGTACATCAGCTCAGTATAGCCTCGCTTCAGATGACAATGATGATAGCGATGATTTAAATTCAGAAACTAAAGCCGAGGAACGTGGCTCAGTTTCAGACACTCTGAATTCATTACGATATTATAGTACACAAGATATACGAGTAAGTCTTGTGAAATACCTTATCTTTTAAGGTATTGTATATCCCACATTTATTTTCCTACATAATCGTAAAATGTCAATGACCTTTTTCCCAAATAACCCACTGTTGCTCAAGTATTCACCTAAATACCTTCTATGGTGTGGTAGGGCAATTTGTAAAATATGGTTGCTATAAATAAAATTTTAAATGAGACGATATAGTTAACTGAGATGAATTTTCAGCATTGCTTATGTGTGCTACGACTTTTCCGGGAACAACATTTGCTTTAGCAGTAGGGTTCTGATTGTGAGAAATAAGTCAGTTGAAACCACTTGTCTAGTGAACTTGTATATATGGTTAGGTCATATGTTAAATATGCCCAATGGTTGTATGGTAGACGCCACAGAATAGTCATTTCATGACACGAGACCATTACTTGATGTTGTATATTAGTGTTAGTTTGAGCTAAGTTCCAGAGTAGAGGCTTTCTGTCAGCGTAAGTTAGATTAGCGTTGGATTGGATGTTAAGATGTATTAGTTCGGACTAGAGATAATCTACATGTATGTTATTCTCTTCAGCTGGACTTTTGTATTTTATCATTTGCCTTTACACAGTGTATGTGCTAGAGGATTTATGTTTAATTGGTGAGGTTCATTTATTTTCATTTCAATACCGATAAAAATCCTTGCCTCTGTGACCATGTGATATACACTCTCTATGGGACACACGATTGTATTGGAATGGTTTTATTACTCGCGATCCAATGATTGTATGACAGTTTTTGTATATTGTTCTGTTAAGCACCTAAGCCCCTATATTGATAGTGAAACATACTATTGTAGCTCCAACCAAGAGTGGCCCTAACATGAAATCAGTTCTCTTAGAATGGTAGGTGATTAACTTATGAAATTCCATTTTCGGTTTTCAGTAACTGTCATAGATATCTATTTCTTTGAACAAGTTTCCGTTTATAGCGAAGCTCGAAATTTTTAGATGATTACAAGCAGTAACTGTTAATTTGGTTTTAAACTTTGCGTAGTAGTTACTTTTGAACACATTTCTAGTTCAAGAAATAATAAATATAAACAAATTATTCATGTTTTTGGTTAGACAGAGTTTACTGATGTTGGTTCCACTCTGTAAGGAAGGGTCAAAATCATCCTGTGACAACCACAGAGGGATTAGTTTAACTAATATAGTCTCTAAAATACTAGCCTCGATAATTATCAGACGCCTAACTAAGACTCGTAAACTGCAAACACGAGAGACTCAAGCTGGCTTCAGACCTGGTCGTGGCTGCATCAACCACATATTCACCATTCGTCAGGCTTTAGAACATAGGCATACTTATCGACGTCCGACAATGGTGGTCTTTCTTGACTTAAAAGCAGCATTTGACTCCGTGGACAGCGAGATTCTGTGGTAGTGTCTGTCATTGAAAGGCGTACCTCAGAAGTACATAGACCTTGTGAAGGCTCTTTACTCGAACACTACCAGTCGAGTCAGAGCTTATGGCTAACTGTCATCTGCTTTTGCAACCTCAAGTGGTGTCCGTCAAGGCTGTCCATTATCTCCATTTTCGTTTAACTTCATCATAGACCTACTGATGGAAATAACATTCTCGTCGACTGAATTCTCGGGTATTGATCTCCTATCAGGAGGTTCACTTATCGACTTAGAATACGCAGATGACATAGTCCTGTTTGGTGAAGACGCTGATAAAATGCAGAGTCTTTTGGTAGCACTGAGCAACAATGCCAGAATATTTGAAATGCCCTTCTCTCCCTCTAAATGCAAGTTGTTGCTTCAGGACTGGTCTGCGTCAACACCTGGACTAAGGATAGGGAGTGAAGTAGTCGAACGTGTTGACAACTTCACTTATCTTGGAAGTCTGATCAGCCCTAATGGGTTGGTGTCTGACGAAATCTCAGCATGGATTCAAAAAGCTCGTTTGGCTTTTGCCAACTTACGTCACCTTTGGCGAAGGCGAGATATCCGTATATCAATAAAAGGACGAGTATACTGCGCGGCAGTCCGTTCTGTTTTAATTTACGGCAGCGAAACATGGCCATTAAGAGTAGAAGACACTCGTAAGCTACTAGTATTTGACCACAGATGCCTCAGAAATACTGCTGGGATCACCGGGTAAGTAATAGTGAGGTTAAACGTGGGGTATTAGGGAATGATGGTAAATCAGTCGATGAGGTTGTGAATCTTCGTCGACTGAGATGGTTGGGCCACGTGTTACGTATGCCTGAACACCGATTACCACGACGTGCAATGGTAACCGGTGTTCGGGATGGTTGGAAGAAAGTTAGAGGCGGCCAAACCAAAACGTGGCATCAGTGCTTAAAGTCACTAACTTGTAGTCTGAGCCATGTTGGTAGATGCAGACTACTCGGTAATCATTTGTTAGAGACTCTTGGTGACGTGGCTCAGAATCGATCACAATGGCGTCGGTGTATGCACTTTCTGTCTTCCCTTAAACTAAGAGATTAAAATTGATTCATATCTTTCTTTCTACGAACTAATTCTTTCTTCCTGTACTATATCCTTATTGCAATCTTTCTTTTAGATGTTACCACCTCCAAATTAACTATTTTTATGAATCCGGTGTTCATCTTGTGTTAATGAGGTATGGCAATTTGAACCGATGCATAAATGTGCCTGGTCCTACGTTGTAGCTGAATGACTGACTGACACCAGAAAACATTGCACGTCGGGGCAGTCGGTGGTTGGGCATACGTAACACGTGTCCCAGCCATCTCAACTGATGAAGTTTCACTACTTCATCAATTGATTTGCCATCCTTACCTAGTACTCGTTTCCTAACAACTGTGTTACTTACTCGATGGTCCCATGATATACGAGCAATGTTTCGAAGACACCTATGATCGAATACTAGTAACCTACGAATATCCTCTACTCTTACCGGCCATGTTTCATTGCCATAAAGTAGGACGGAACGAACTGCTGCGCAGTAAACACATCCCTTGGTTGATAGACGGATATCTCGCCTACTCCATAAATGACGCAAGTTGGCAAAAGCTAGTCGAGCCTTCTGTATCCATGCTGAGATTTCGTCACACACCAGACCACAAGGGCTGATGAGACTTCGAAGATAAGTGAAGCGGTCGACACGCCCGACTACTTTACTCCCTATCATTAGTTCAGGTGCCGACGCAACTCAATCCTGAAGCAACACTTTACATTTCGAGGGGGAGAATCGCATCCCGAACATACTTGCATTGTTGCTTAGAGTGGTCAGAAGACTTTGCATTTTGTCAGCATCTTCACCAAATAGAACTATGTCATCGGCATATTCCAAGTCAACAAGTGAATCTCCTGGTAGAAGTTCAACCCCTGGAAATCTAGATGAGGAAAGTGTCATCTGTAAAAGCACATCGACAACAAAGTCAAACAAGAATGGAGAGAGTGGGCAACCCTGACGAACACCACTTGAGGTAATCAATTCTAATGACAGTTCGCCATAAGCTCTCACTCGACCAGTTGTGTTCGAGTAGAGAGCCTTTACAAGGTTAATGTACTTAATGGTACTCCTTTCAGTGACAAACACTGCCATGGAACCTCACGATCAACAGAGTCGAATTCTGCCGTAAGGTCGAGAAATACTACTATTGTGGAGCGTCTGAACGTGTGCCTGTGTTCTAGAATCTGACGTAGTGTGAATAATTGGTCTATACAACCACGTCCAAGTCGAAAACCGGCCTGATTTTCTCTAGTATGCTCTTCACGAGCTTTGGTTAGACGTCAAAGTATTATTGAAGCTAATATTTTAGACACTATATTAGTCAAACTGATTCCTCTGTGATTGTCACAAGAGGACTTTTTTTCCTTTCTTATAGACTGGAACAATCAGTGATTGAGACCAGTCAGATGGGATTGCGCCCAGTTCTCAAATTCTACCTAAGACCTCAGTTAATCTCACTGCTAATACTGGACCACCATCCTTAAAAATCTCAGGAGTGAACCTGTCAGGGCCTGCTGCTCTCACTTGCTTCAGATTTCCTATAGCTTTTTCAACTTCGTAGAGTCGGAGGACCTACATTAACTTGCCATTCAGGTTGACTGGAGATCATGGGAAACCGAAGTGTGACTGAAGGCCAGTTGAACTGATCCCTGAAGTGTTCTGCCCATCGATCCGATCTCCTGGATTGAGAATGAACGATGTATCCATCTTTTCCGAGATATTTTCCTAAACAGTTGGGTTCCTAATACCGGTTTCCTTAACGAGTCTGAACAATTGTCTGCTATTACCTATTGCCGCTGCGTTTTCCATCTCTCTTGCTTTCGCTGCCCACCACTGTTCACGATCATTGCGTAGGCTTCTTGTCAGCTTGCGCTTAAGCTAACTCCGCTCTTCGTTATGTTCAGATCCAGATGGAATGAGTTTTCGCGCATCTATCAGTGCGGTAGATGCTGCTGAGATCCAGTGTTGCTCCCTAACCTTGTGGTATACCGTAATAGCAGATATCGTTGCTGTTTCCACAGATTTTCGGATATCATTCCATGCTGCCTCGGAGTGGGCATCACCTACATGGCTGCCTAACTGTTTTCCTAGTTCCTGAAATATACTCCTAGCTTGACTATCATTAAATAGGACCCTAAGAGGTTTCCTTGCAGCGTCTTTCTTACGTCCAGTAAGACGCAGGCAAGGATCATACTTAGTTTTTGTCTGTTTGATAGGTTTAATGGGGTGACAAATGAAATGACTTACTATCCAACAACCAAACGATGATTAAATTCATCTCAGTGGTTACATCTCTAATTAGAACATTAAGAATTACGACTTTCAGAGAAACATAAGGAACGTTAAATAACTAGTGCAACTTTTTGCTGAATACAAACTAAACAAAAGATTTTAAATTTGGGCACCCAGTCGTTTACTTACAAATATACAAGGTAAATACGCTAAACAGTTTCGTCTCTATATTTAATTCAGTAGTCAATATAATTCCTCGTCCTTAGTATGTGATCAAGCTCTAAAAGTCAGTCATGATAAATAATGATCATTTATTTCACCGATTCGTTCCTCTGTCTTCGCATTCTCTAGTATTCCTTTCAGAATGATAGATTTGGTTTACTTCCTTTTGAATCCGTGAAATCCCATATGGTTTGTGACTATAATTGAAATGGTTCAAACCGATCACAGAGTCCCAAATGGATTTTTTTTATCATCTTCCTCCAAATCTCGAACCAGTATTATCGCTCGTACTTCTCATTTTCTTATTTAATTAGTCTCTTTTGGACTGTGTTTAGTTAACTGTTCTGTTGTATCTTGAATAAGCACTTCATCCGTTTGTTCTTGTAGTGACTGGTTCTGGGTCCTGGTTGAATCTATTCCATTGGTATCCTAATTCGTTGGGCTTACTTGGTTTACTGTTGATGGGTTTGGTGTTGCACGGTAGATTAATAAGAATTTTTGGATTACATCCTCCACCTCTCTTTCTCCCTCGGCTTTAGGTAGTTTTTTTTAATGTCGACAAATCTCTTAAATTGTCAGTTTGACTGTGGATGATAGGAAATGTCTTGATATTTTTAACGGCATTGTCAATACAAAATTTTAAAGATTCCGAAGTAGACTAAGTTCCATTATCAGATACTAATACTTCTGAAGACTCGAAACAGGTGAATACTTGTTGCAACTTGTCCACAGTAGCTTTAGCTGATGTAGACTTCATGCAACGAACTTCTGAACATTTAGAAAAGGCGCCAACAGTTGGCATAAACTATTTTCCATTTATAGTACTAGGAGAATCCATGTGCACCGTAGACCGTGAGTATGTCAGTGTTCCCTAACTGCATATTTGTGTCTTCCTAGGGGATTTAGCTGCGTTTTCACTTGCGCAACACTTTTCAACATATTCAATTTGAAACCAGGACCCAGAACCAACCACTACAAGAACAAGTGAGTGGAATACCAATTCAATGAGTGACATGGTACATTGTATAAACATTAAGCAACTAAATTATGTTTATGTATTACGTTTATCATAAGCTTTTGGCTAACCCATAAACTATTATCATTCGATTTACTATTCTTAATATCTGACCAGTCTATTACTCACAGTTTTCCATATTCACAGCCGCTTTTGTATAATTGTGTTCTTTATTTCACGATGTGGTGTGGTGCGTTATGTCTGTATATAAACCATGTCTGTTTGAAGCACAAATGTAGTAGAGGCTTGTTACTGACTTTCGGACTTAAAGGCAGGGCATAGAGAGAAGCTTGCAAATAGTGGTCCAATGAGAACTTGGCTGCTGAGTCAAGATTAATGTTGCTGGTCGAACGTGTAATTGTCCAAGTCAGAGAAATTAAGCGATCGTAAATGGTAGACGCGAAATAGATTAAAGTGGAATCAATTCTGATTAGTGGCTTGTCACATAATTCTAGTCAGCAGACATTGGAAACAACATGTATCCTGTTTATTATCTCTCCAACTCTTTTGGTTTCCATGTCTTTAATGTCTCCTCCTTAAAGCAGTGTAGAGTATGATACGTTAGCCGATATACGTCTACTCCATATCGTTAGTGTTAGTGATTGACAGGTTGACTAGATTAATTTAGTTCAGTTTAGTAAAGCCACTGCCCCCAAATGCCTTGGTACGACCGAGAGTGGGAAGAGTCAGCTCTCCCTCTCGAAATGTTCTCACATGGCCACGTGCATACAACAACTGCCGGGGAAGTCCTACTCACTGCCTTCTCGCGGCGTTACTGTTGTTTAAGAAATTGAGAGGACGAAAAGCAAGTGTCCGGCGCTTTAACCGGATTGGTGGACACGGAGAGTTCATCTAGGGGAGTTGACAAACCCTGCTTCCAAACCGATGGTGCACATGGGCTTCAGTATCCTGAAGGAAATAATGGCATATGAACCAATCGTTGGTGACCGGCTACCATGGGACTGCATCTGCTTACGTTGCTCCACTGCCTTTTGGATTAGACCTCTCGGTTAAAGGCTCCGGGTGTGATCCCTAAGAAAACCACATGGTTCGGTTTCAGCACCCGGGCTGTAATCCAGCCCTCAAAAAGTTGAATGATTTATCTCGCGCATGTGTATTTGGTGCCTCCTTGTACCAATGTTTATGTGTTTAAATAAATAAATAGTAAAGTCACTCCAACTTGGTAACCATCTTTCGCTTTTTGTTAATTGATGGAGATGACCATTAGTGTGTGCTTATGAGAGTTAGGTTTTTTAAATAACATTAACATCAGTTTCTTTCTTCTCTGTAAGCTTATATTATTTACAAACGACATATAGATGACGAATTTCGAATTGACGTGTTTCTTTTTTCTATATTTATCAGATTTCGGTCGATATAAATGATTTACCTTTGAGTAAAGACGAAAATGAAATGAGTAACATATCTCAGGTGAGAAGTAAGATTCCTGTTATTTTGCTAAAATCGCTATCATTCGATGTATTGATTGAAGTATGGTAGTAGTAGTAGTAGTTCTTTATGGAATAAACCTTGTTAATTAAATTAAATTTCTTTCATAAATACAGGTTATTTCGAAAAGAATTTTCAGTATATTGCATAAGATATTCAATTCGTCGTCAAGTTCACTTATTGTATATTGTAACTTGATTTTGACCAGCTATATTTAATGATGATTTCTAAATCAATCCTCATTTACAATTAATATCTTTCTTTTTCCTGGTGAAAACAATATTATAGCTTTCTCTTAAATTTATTCATTTTGCTGTACATATTTTGCCCCCCCCTGAATGCCCTGGTACGGCCGAGAGTGGGGAGAGTCCGCACGATTATGTTTGGGTTCGATCATGTTTCTTACAATAAGATCTATGTGGTTGTTAAAATTCGTTAATTGTTTCCTTAAATCCCCATTTAAGAGTAATTCATTTCATTACTTAATTTTCATTATAATGCCATAAATCGACTACCGGTATCATCAACATCTTGGTCAAATTAATGTAGTATGTAGCAATAAAACTTTTTTTTATTTAACATCAACTTTATTTTCTTAAATATTGTGTAAATGTAAACTATGTACATTATCGGATTATTTAGACCATTTATTTGACTTGACTTGAATATATACTTATTGAGAAAGAGATTGATTTGATAAAATGCACACATTTACTATAGTATGTTAGTATCCTATCTTAATTTTCCACTTTTTTTATGTTTTCTTATTTGTCATTACCTTATCTAAGCTCATTTAGCTGAAAAATAATAAAGTAATTTCATTGATATCACGAACCGATCAAAGTTAGACAGCCATTAAAAACCTAGAGGCACTGGAAGGATGTCTTATCTTAGTGTGGGATTCCTCAGGTTGTCGAACTTTGATCGGTTCGTGATTTCAATGAAAATCAATAATCTCCACAACTCTATACTACTGACAATAAAGTAATTGTTTTTGTCACAATATCAATTGTTATGAAACTTTATCTAGAATGAGAAAGATGAGTGAATTTATAGGTCTAAATGTTTTGCTGAATCAATACATCTGTTAAAATATGTTTTCACTTCATTCCTTTCCTTTTTTTGTCATCGTTATTTTATCAAGACTTTCAATTTCGCTTACTCGTAACTTCCAGGTTTGGAATGATTGTTCATCAGTATCATTTACAAGATAACACTTTTGATAGACTATTTCATATTGTACAAATAAAGCATTAAGTATATTATAACTTAACTCTGATACATGTAATATGGTTGACGTTTGTTTTAAAAATATTTATTTAAACATAAACATTGGTAGAAGGCGGCACTATATATATATTGCTAGCTTCTAAGAATTGAACGTGAAATTCTTCTACTAATTTGTTTTACCAGACGCACTGTATATCTGCGTCCTCTATAATCTGCCAATGTATCCTACTTTATAAAAATGTTGCGTAATTCGACTTGAAATCGGACTAAATGGCACAAATTCATTGTCCATCTATGAATCCTAATTTTTTTATTTTGCTCAGTACATTTTAATTCCCGAACTTATTCGTTATTTTCAAAGCACATATTCTATTTCTGATTCCCTTTCATTGATATTACTTCTATTCGACGTTTTAAAAAAAATCATCTATTTAATTTCATCTCGCTGTGCTAAAGTCGTTTAGGAATTCGGGCTAAAGTACATTTTCGCCTAGTTCTGCGTTGCATATGATAGTGACTGGAAACTTTTTGAACGGTAAAATTGACTAATACAATATGTGAGAGTGACTTTAAGCTAATCCAACTGATAATTTACTCACAAAACCAATCTTTGAATGTTTATCAAATAAACATCATACGATTGATTTACTAGCCAACTAACTGAATTAAAGTTATCATTTCTACATAAAATTCTACACTTTATTCTCACTTGTTAATTGTTACCAATCTTGAAGTCTATTTAAAAATTCTGGCCTGTTTTTCATAACTTTACTCGATTGTGTTTAACGAAATAGCAGTGATTTCATTGTCTCTTTCACTGAAGATGGAAATCATTATCGTTTCATTTATTGATTTTTTTCCTTAATGATTTGATTTATTTTACATGGTGAATATTATATCCAATTAACTGTTTCAGTTAATGAGACTACTTTTTTTTAATGATTCAATGGTCGCTAAAAAATTGATTCATTTCATAAGCAAACAACTAAACCCCAATACTAGTTTATACGTCACTTCGTATATTTTCTATTGTTCATGTGATTATTGTAGACTTCATTTTCGATTTTTCTTAGAAAGTGTTGCATATCAGCTAAGCTTATGGTTATGGATTTGGTGTATACGTTGAAGGAACATCTGTAGAATATATTAAGCTTTAGGATTGGACAATTTTCGGTCGATATATATATATATATATATATATATATATATATATATATATATATATATATATATATATATAGTGTATGCCCATCTACTGTTTTTTAATGCTTTTATTGGTTTCCATGCTATTAGAGATGATAACACACATGTTTACGTCTATACCATGCATACATGTCCAGATGTACACATGATATCTGTCTACAATTAATAATTGTAGTGTAGTATCAGTTTTTATTCTATGGTAAAGTAACTAAGTAAACTATTTGTTATTTTGTAAAAATACACTAGTCTTTCGTTGTTATCAATTCGTATATATTATGTCTTGTAACATTATTGTTTATCTCGTTATTTTTTATCTTCGGGGAAGGTAAACTACAGACTATGATATTTTGTTGTTGTTGTTGGACATAGAAAACAACTAAATGATTCTGTAGTTAACTGACTGATGATACGAAACACATTTTTGGACTGGAGAAAAAAAATAAAAACACGTCACATGTGCTAAAAAAGCGACGACATTAACTAGTCGATTCACGGTCAAAATGACGTACTCTATTTTGGTTGGTGGTAATGTAGACTTATTTCTTGATGAACTTCATTATTTCTTCGTTGGCATTTTTTCTATGGACCTATTAGTAGAAAATCCAGTTAGTTGTTTGAATTGTAGTATTTATGATTATTATTGAGATCACGATCTGTTCAAGTTAAAAATCTACTAAAAACCAGTTAGCACTGAACAGCTGTTTTGTCCTAGTCACAATGCGCATCCGCGGTCCCACCTCTTGAAATCGAAACTATGACCTTCAGGTCTTGCGGATAGCTCATAACCATCGGACCACTGGATGTCTGACTTCAATCAATTTGTACGACCATCTTCGATGGTAACTACGTCAGACCTATAGAAGAGTCCCACAATACAACGAGACGGCTCTATGATTTGGTCACTAAGAGTGAATCAGAGGCCACTTAGACTTTTTTTGTACAAATTTGATATGACAAGTAGACCCAAAGACCAAGTCTTATATTGTGAAAGAAAGGTGTTGGGGGATCCAAGGTATTCTTAAAAAAAGTCCGCTGGGAAACATTTTATCTAATCAGTATTGAATGGAAGTTTCTCAGAAACATCTAAAAAGTGAAGTTATATATTGCATTTCTAATTGGATGATTACTCACTGTGCTACTATGTTCAGTACGGTTTCAGAAACCCAAGGCCATCTGAAACTGAAACACTATAAAGAGCCTCGATTTTGCTGTACATAAATTAACCTTCGAGTAAAGCATTCTCACATTTCACGCCTTTTCTCTGGCGTTCGCGTTATCTTGCAGAATTAGCCTGGGTTTATTAAAAGAGCTTAGGAAATCGATTCAAGCATTCAATTGGAAGTTTAATTCCTATATCTGTCCTTATTTCAGTAGTTTTTGCAGTTCAATGGATTTAATCGTTAAGAATTTAGGTAACATCTGGAATTACAGTTGTTTGTTGACTGATAAAATGTTATTGCAAATACAGTAATATCACAATTGACTCTTCATAACATACATCGTCTGTAACTTAGACGAGTTGTCACAAATAACATATTAGAAAAGTAATTATTGTATCATTCTGTGTTACTTTATGACTGTAAACATTTTTTACTATAGCTGAAAATGATAAAAGTAGTGACTGTTTGTCTTGGAACTCTAATCGATATCACGTGACGATTCCACCAGTCAGGATCCCAAGTACACTTTTTCGATTCCACATCCACTGTCTTATCTCTTGCCTAACGTCTTAAACTTCAACAATTATCCGTTCTGATATGCATAGTACAGTAAAAATATAAATAATAATCGAAACGTATTTTCGGAAGTTACGACTTTTCTAAAACTCGTTCCGTTTGTTTATTAATGTTTTATTTTCTGTCATTAGCGCTTCATTTATCAATGAGTATATTATTCAGCAAACGAACTCGGTTTGTTAATGAAGTTGTGAATGCTGACTAAATGATCGGATTTATAAAAGAGACGAAAGCGAGACTCTAATTTGTGGACGAACCTTGAACGAATCTTAAATGACCTTGACAACTATTAGCTAATCAGAAGACAGTACAAAGTAAAAATATAAGAAACTAATGAATTACAGTGGATATTCTTTTTTTACGTGATTTAAAAACTTATTAAGGTTTGATAAAGGTTCAGATGTTCTGAAATCATAATGCATACGATATAGGAACTCGTCCATATGGCTCCATAATAGTCATCCTCCAGAGCCGTGGTACGGTCTTAAAAATTCCTTCAATCTCGACCACGTGGCTTCAATGTTGTTAGTATGAACTCCAGTAGTAGGGTCGACAAAATGACGTTTATGCACTACGACATGATGGACATACCCAAGTCTATGAAGGCATCTATACGCTCTCCAATCATCCGTATATACCGTAGTGCCCGGCTGCACGTATTCCTGTATAATTGTGCTTGCTTGCCGGTCTCTGACCCTCTGAAAATGCTCCTTTTGCGTTGATCGATCATAAATTCCACGTACCTGTCAAGTATATTTACGGAAGTGCTACTTACCCAATCTTCCTTGATACTACGTCCCCTGTTGTATTTTCGCTTTCTCACTACTGTTTTATCTATTTCCACAATACTTTCTACTTCGAATGATTGGTGTAGACGTGTCATTTTAAGCGCACATGTATCACGAAAATGCTCATACCACTGGACGACTGAAGTTTCAGTAACATCTGCAAACGCCACAGCTAGTGTTACTGGTGCCTTTATTATCCAATTTGCAACTATTATCATGATTTGCCTTAGTCTCAGTCGCGATCGAGCGAGGAAAGTCCCCGTCCGAGCAGAATTTTTTCTCCAACATAAAGAGCAACGAAATACAATCTCATCACGATAGTCTGCACACTGTACTGCAGTCATTTGATAACCGCATTCACAGGTGCAGGAACTTCTTAGTAGTCTCATCTCTTGTAGCCGCTCAATAATCATCTCTTCTCTGAAATCCGCTCTAAATCGATCGTATGTGATCATCAGGTGTTGAACTTGGCTCCGTGACCTTGAAATTCCCCAAACGCTTCTGATTGGCTCGTCCATAAATTGGAGTCTCGCCGAGACGAGATAGCCAGATCAAAACGCATCATTAATTCATTTGATCATTACTTGGTAGTTTATAGTTTACAGGAATATATGTATATTCCCTCTAAATTCATTCCACAAGTAAGTTATGGTTAAGTAGTGAAAGAGATTTCAAGTGCTACCTGTAGATCGATTGATCTCCGTAAGGCAAATGCATTCATCTTTGCCTAACTCTTGAATAACTTATTATCCTGTAAATGTTATCTTTTATATTATGTTTCCTGGTCTTGTTTACTTCTATTCACAATAATAATTTGTTATGTGGTTACTTGGTTCGCTACACGAATAATAATTGCTTTTACATCTGTTCATTTGAAGGTGAGATATTCAATAATTCACGATTGTTTTTTCTTTTCAATTTCGACAAGAATCTGTATGAAATTGAAAAAAAAGAAATCATCAATAATTTTTATTTGTTTTATGCATAAATTCGCGCGCAACGCTCATTACTGTTGGAGACTGTTGGGAGAAAGTTAAGGGCGGCCAAACTAAAACATGGCATCTGTCACTGAAGTCATTAACTTCTGGTCTGAGCCTTGTTGGTAGATATAGACTACTTGGTTGGGATTCGCGTGACTATCGTAATCAATGGTTAGAGATTCTGGGTGACATGGCCCAGAATCGGTCACAATGGCGTAGGTGCATACACTATTTGTCTCTTAAACCATGAGATTAAAATTACTTTATACCTTTTTGTGAACTAATTCTTTCTTCATGCATTATATCCTTATATGCAATGCTTCTTTTATATATTACTACAATTGAAGTAAACACTTCTGTGAGTTTGATGATCATCTTGCTGTGCTGATGAGGTGTGGCAACTTGGACGTATGCATATATGTGCATGGACCTACGTTATAGCTGATTGACTGCATAAGATTTTTTTATTTAGAACATATTGTTTTATTACTCATAAATTACAAATTGAAATTTTGTTTTGTAGAATGCACATAGTTTATTAACTGTTTGTTTAACAACTGGTAATCAAGAATCAGAGACTTGTTTACTGGCACCAACATCTCTTGGAGGTAAGTAAAAATATGAAATGACTTTGATTATATAATATGACTATGTTTATTTTTGTCAACATTTTCATACTTAATATATTGTAAATTGTTAGTTTTAATTGCAACCATTGTGGTCAAAGTAATGTTTAAGTTTATTTTCTCAGCCTATCGCTGTAATCAGTCATATTTCCCGGTTAAACCGCCGGGAATTCGTTTTTCGACCTCTTAATTTCGTAAACAAACACCCCCGCTGCCGGAAGGCAGTGAGTAGAACTTCCCTGACAGTGGCTGTATATCCGTAGTCACGTGGTCACAGTATAAACCAAATTGTATATTTTTATCCACTGCAACTGATAATTTAACAGATGACAAAACGTTTATTATTGTGACCTTATGTCCGGCTTTTTGTCACGTGATTTGTCCACCAATCAAAATACGACTTATACAATCTTCGCATTGTGCCAAACCAATCACGTTCGACCGGTATGGGCAGTCTAGCGTCCTTATTTATCCTATGTCCGCCTAGCCCGTCCACTTGAGTCCAGAATACCAATACCAGCTTCCAATATGCGAATCGAATCGATTAATTTATTTCAGACATACTGGGTTTATATATCAACCAAACAGACCGCAACGCACCATGAAATAGGAAATAACATTTGTACACAATAAAGCCAAAAAGTGACTGTGAACATGGGAGGCAGTAGTCAATAAACTGAACAGCTTAAGAACAGTAAGTCGTACAATTATAAATTATAGGTCGAAATAAAGCTTATAATAAGAGAAATATAAGTGTACATAATCTAACTATTGAATAATTATACCATAAGAATGTATAGATAATATTAGTCAATTAATATGTCTCAGAAGTTACTCGTGATTCATTCTTCGCTCGGATATAACGTTTATGCTCAACAAAATAATACCACAGTCTATGTAATTACACATGTCTTGAGAATCGCCATAATTTTTCAGAAGTTATCTAGGATCTATTTAGGGATTCATTTTATTATTAGAGAAAAAATTGTAATCGTTACTTTGTAATCATACTTGTTAACTATTTTTCGATTGTCATTTAATCAGGGAATCGTCAATTGTCTGTAACACTATAATAATACTGCAATACACTTATTAAGTATCCATTTTGTTTTCATCTCCTTACTCAGAATCGCCTAATTTTATTTGTCAGATATAAGAAAGTTTGAGTTCTTGTACTTGATAGATATGTTTAGTTTTGTTTTTTAGAATTTAACCTCAGATCCCGATCGTTCTTACCTATATTGTTAACGTTTTACAGTTAGTGTTAATAGTTAAACTACCATGATCTGATTTGAAAAAACGAAATAACATTTTCCCGTCCGTTCACAGATCAAGAAGTATTATTATTCTGTCATGTAGTTTAGTAATCTTTCACACCGTTTGGTTTATAACTAATGCCTTATTTTCAAACTTTGAAGTTCTCTCTATGTTTTTCACTAAATGGATTACACGTATTAAAAACTCGTCTTTCAATAATGATTATTCATGTGATGCAATTTTTTTAATCTACTAGCGAAATAAATGTCTAAGTAGTGTTACTTGGTAGTTAAAGCATTAAACTAAGTGAGTGACATGTTTAAAGTTTTTTTCTTTGAACTGATTATCATTACAAGCTGTCAGACACTTCTGCTCAAGGTCATTATACTTAGACTACGTTATTGATTATAAGTCTGTATAATACTAGTATCCATGGCTAATTTTCCAATCGCGCAAAAAAGATTTTATAGGATAGTTACTGAGGCCAGTTATTCACTAACGTATATAATAGGTGTAATGTTTTGACCACGGATTAGTAAGAGTTTTACTAATCCTGTCGTTGATATTCATGATTCAAACGGTTTTGTTTCACACTGAAAGTACCATCTTAATTGAAATAATTAACATACTAAACGTCCTACTTATCTTGTGGTGCTGCAATAAATTTTATTTCTAACACTTGAATTCACGAGTCCATCTAAGATAGACCATCATTATAAGCCTGAAAGTATTGGACAGCCGTTCCTCCCCAGTATGGGACTCCTCAGCAGTGCGCATCCACGATCCCTCACTTGGGAACTTCACTCTCGCACTTCAACGCTTAACCTCTATACCACTGGACCGGCATTCAGCGGTGTTAATGTCTAACTTCAATCAGCCCACGACATTTTGTGGCAATTTTTCTCAGATATTGTATTCAGCAGGAAACCCTTCTTGATTTAGGTCTAAAGCTAGTTGACACTTATCAGCAAGGTGTACTCACAGTTATAAAGGAACTTGGTGATACCTATAGAATTCGAACCTACGTCACCCAGCTTCACAACTTGAGACAATAGCATTCTATTCACTATTGAACACTTTAGAACGGAAATATTTCGTGTATTAGAATATCATTATAAAAATATCAACTAATCACTAATCAGTTATTAATCGACAGACTTCAGTTGACGACTGTGATGAGATTAAATATATTATTATAACCCACATTTGAAAGATTAAGGTTTATTGCATAAAAGGTATTTGCTAGTTTCTCTTATCCATTTATTCACTAATCATATCGGATGAATTATACTATTGTTTCACATTGAGCATCACAGTCATAGAAAAATTGTCAACTCACCGAAACCGAATTTGGTGCTTTAGACCCCACGATAATTGGGTTCTTTAATATGTGGTTCTTCATGCTACACATATTCGACCACAAATGCGATCCTCGATTCCCGTTCATAAACCAGTTTTAAAGTACAGTTTTACTGACTTGTTGCCTGCTCTAATATTTGAGTGGCAGTATTAAGAGTTCAAATATATTGACCAGAAAATCAGCATTACTACCATTCTCTGTCCTTAGGCATAACTAAATAAATAATTAGTTATGAACAGGATCTACATATCTGTCCATCACTGTAATTAATATGTTAACTAAAGTAGTTTTCTAGTAATCGTTTTTTTATTATTCCCTTATCAAATTGTGTTACTGTCACAAAACAGAATGAAATGGTATACTAGTATCATCCAGTGAACCTGATCACTTTTCTAGAAACTTGAATGATTATTATAAATGTATGTTCATACCGCTTTGTTGTTGTTAGGCTGTGTACTTTATCCACTGACCTTGAACTCTACATAACTATTATTTAGTTCAGAAGCTGATAGTTATATAGCGAGCAAATAATATCCTATCAAAGAAAACTATAAATCGTTTCATTTGGTAAATTATAAAATTTCATTTCACTTAGTTGTTTCTGTTTTTATTTTCATTTAGTAACTTCTGTTCAGCTATTATTTTCTGATTATTATAAGTCATTCCAAGAGCTGTTGGTGTTGATTTCACGATCGAAGATATTAGTTTTATAGAAATTTCCATAGTTCCAGCGTATATGTTACGAAAATACGTTATCACTTTTACTACTGCTTATGATTATTTGTGTAAATATTGTTATTTCTATATTTTTCCACAGATGAATTCACTCTTTATTTTGTAACAAAGAACAAAGTATTTAAGAAAGGAACAGTCACTTAAATTTTCAACAATCTTTTAATCTATTTAATTGAACGGTTTCATATGTGTTTTAAGTACTCGATCCTTTAAACCGCAGAACTACAGACTTGTACCCTGTTGCATTTGTTTTGCTCTGAAAGTTCACCAGTAGAATTACTATCTCCTATTAAAAAATATGTCTCAAGGATCCCTGATTATAAATCCTTGTTTTATTAGTGTGTTACATCAGGCTCTCTAGATCATATTATTATTAACGGTCTTAAGTTTTATATTTCATCCAGCCCATTCATTCCAATCGATTGTAACATTCTTTTATTTTCATTGGGATATCCATGACTTGATAATCCTTTTTTTCAAGTTCATTTACGAAAACGAGTTATCACTGCATAATGCTTTTTAGATATTCATTTGTTAACAATATGTTCAAATTCAATCCTATGGAGATCACGAACCGATCTGACTATTGAAAATCTAGAAGCACCGTATAGTTGTTTTTTTCTTAGTGTGATGTCTGTCTTCAGTACACATCCACAACCCCTTCATCGGGGATTGGATCTAGGACCTTCAGTTCTCGAGGTGATCACTTAACCTTTAGACGCCACTGAACCAGTATGCAGTGGTTTGCATGTCTGACCTCCATCAATCCACGATATTACTTGACTATATTCCGTTGAATACGGTGAATACCTTTCACATTCGATACGGATTGAACTCCCCTGGTCACCTCATCTTGAATTGCACCTTAAAGCTAGTCGATGGTAAACAAATGATTATTATTAGTATATTTGGGTTTGTGAAGCTTGTAAAATTGTTGGTAGTCAAATCACTAGCTGATCTTAGCTAGACCATGATTGTAAACCAAGGAGCACTCGAAAACTGTTTTGGTCCATTACGAGATTCCTCAGTAGTGTGTAGGGATGTTTTATCTTTAAGACACTGAGCTGGCATCCAATGGTGTACAAGTCTGACTTTAATCAATCTATAAATTGAATAAAATTCAACAATCTCCACAACCCCATACTGACAAATCGATTCGCTGTCTATAACAAAACTTTGAGGATGCTAGAACATATATAGTGATGAATGAGAAAAATTTGAATAGTATCCCTGTTTACCTTTATTATCCTATTTTTTTAAAAAGTTTTTACTATTCAACATGTAAGTGTTGGATAAAATTACCTTAATATTAATGTGATTACCTATAAAAAGTCAAGCTTCAATTTGTGTTTTCTCACTTCAGTATTTTCTGTAGTAAACAAGGTCAAAAATGTTCATTTTACTGTATGAATTCCATAATTTCAGTATTTAGTGTTGGGGATGCAATATAGATCAAATTAATCAATAAGTCTTTAACGGTAACTATTAAGAAGTCCAGTTCAATTACAGTATATTGTGTAAAATGATACAGCACTACTTTCTAGCGCTTAGTAACTTGAAGTAAAATTTACTATCTAGTTTATGAAGTAATATGGTAATTGGTGTATTTTTTATTGAGATATAATATCTTTTGGTCGGCGTTTCCCAATTCATTTAATTTATCATGTGTTAACGCTACGGCTTCTTATGACGATATTTAAGTCAATTGTATGAATAGATTAATTATTGTGTTGGTTACGTACAGAAATCTAGTTCCTAGTCATATTGTTACCGTAACTCTATTTTCATTCTCATTCTATTTATAGTTCGATCAACATCAATTTGGTTAGGCAAATTAGCAGGTTATTTGGTTAGCCTATCGATAAAACGTTGTCCCCCGACACATCGATCTATCCAACAGTTGGATCAAGAATTAATGAATGAAGTCAATCAGTCACGAAGTCGTCACCAAAGTCGTGGATCATCTATTTCGAATACTTCCAGTATACCAAATGATTTAAACAATCTAATTGAAAATGAATTTAACACCACCAAGTGTTGTGCTGAAAGTGTCTGTCCAGAATTGTCCGAGTGTACGAGTACCGCTGTACCGAAATCGGATAATGATGGTAGGTGAAGATTAGATAAAACCCATTGTTTTTTCTCTATATATACCAGTTTATTTTTCAAGCACCGTATATTACTTTATAAGAACTAATTTGTAGTAGTTCTGAAATTCATTCCTTTCGATAAATTTGACTAGTCACAAGTTCGTTTGTATATTTAGCTTGTCATTAATTCTAAAAAACAAGTTCCCACTTTATTGTGTGCAGAACTCATTATACTAGATTTAATATATATATTTTGTCCCATTGCTAATATTTTCAGGTATACATATCCCAATATGTTGGGATACCTACGCTGAAGTTTGTAGACAGTTAACGCTTATTTTGAAAAGTCGTTGCTGAGTCATAACATATAGTAAGAGTTCTGAATTGTTTCTAGGTGCGGTTTGCTGATTTCACTGTGTGAAGAGAAACTGCAAGTCTGGGATATAAATAACTTTCAGCGAAGAAACATCACTTTGTGAACATCTGAAATCGGATGTAAATAATGAGCCATGTGAAGTAGTACGCAGCTGTCCTACCAGAAGTAGTTATAAGGATATGGTTTAAACTGGTGACCATATGCCTGGTAAGTTCATTATTTGTCCACATCCTGATTTATTATCAGTACACTTAGCCATAATTGGTAATCCTCCAGGTTTCTAAAGGTAATAAATTTATGGTTTAACTGTTATACATCAGTTTATTTCAAAAACAACTTAAATCCATAACATGATTTATTCTATCGACTTTACTGAGAGGTGGCATCAGCAAGGAGTTTCTAACGGCTAACAAGAAGCATCCACCTTCCATCAGATAATATGAGATATCAGAAAATATCGGCCTTAAAATATCAATATCCCTTCTTGTTCTTTGGATTCTCGGCTCCGAATTAAAATGGTCGTTCTCCATCAACTTCAATTGTTTAGCTTCTGTAGTCACACTCTGATCGGCAAAGCCGTCACTTCTGACCCACCCTCTTTATTAGCTCCCTTAAAAAGAAATTGCCTTGTGCAGTGAAAACTTCCAAACATCTAAACGCCCCTAATAGAGCACCTCATGGTTTTAAGTGTTGGGAGTATAATTTCTTTGCTCAATTAATTTATTATTATACACTTAAAATCTTATATATCTAGAAGATTTTTCCAATTTTTTAGAATTTTTGCATAACATGCTTAATCAGTCATTCGCAGCTGTCAAAGGGAAAACATTGTTGTTAGTAGTCTTGTTAGAGTTATGAAGTCCGTTTAAATTTCGTTAAGTAATTTGATTTTTTTCTTTTCGACAACCCGAGATAATAGAATTCTGTATTTTTACGGAAAAAAAGAATAATCTTTATGCTTCGACATTTTATCAGTTATTTATATATGTATATAGGTGTGTTAATGTATTCGTATCTTTTTTCGTCGAGATTTTTCTTCTATTGTTTGATATGTTTTTTCATCAAAATATTAGATGAAGTAACCCGTACAGTAACCGGCAGTTCTGCTTCAAATTTAGCGCGAGCCATTATTGGATCGTCTTTACTTCATCAATCATTCACTGATCAAGTCTATCAAAGTGAAATTCTCTGCATTAGTCATAATGATGGTACAGGCCAGGATTTCCCATTACGTATGTTAGAAGCTCGGTCAAGTTTTGGCATTGGACAATTGAGTTGTAATTCAAAGCATTACATTGCCATTATTGGCGGTTATAATCGTAAAGGTTGTTTAGATAGTATGGAATTATTCGTTGAAAACAATAGTAATCAGCAGTATGAATCATGTAACGACGAAGATTCACCTGTATCTCCTCCTATTATTGGTCCACGACTGACAAAACAAAGAGGTCGGTTAGCTGTAGTATCCAGTTACTTACAATCATTTTCTGATTTTCCTGATATAATTTATGCTTGTGGTGGTTCGACAGGCTCCAAGGATTTAGCATCTGTAGATAAGTGAGTTAGTTATTCTATTTTGAATATATACATTCTTTGAAAATGTTATGCTCTAAATGGAAATCATAATAGATGCAAGGATTTATATTGGCAGTAAACGTTGGTTGACGCTCAATGTTCACGTGCTTAGTCTGTTAAGCATTGCTTTATAAATCTACGCACAACATTTTTGTGTATACGTATTTTCAGCAGATATTTTCCGGTTTGAATTACAGGGTTACAATGATTGACAAGAGACTTGAGGCCTTTCTGTTTCGAACGTTAAGAAAGTTTCCTTTTGTGTAGTTCCTATCTCGAATTCCGAAAACCTACTACTAAGATTGAGAAAACCATAACTTACCCAATTGGCTTGTACACTTCTGACCCTGTTATACTTCTTCCTCCGAACAACAGTTTTATCAATTGCCAAGATTCCACCAACGCACTATCGTACCGCAAAATTGTTAGATGAAAAATCGATAAGAAGAGGTTCATTCTTAAGATATTCTAAAATCGCATCGAGATAAATCACTCTAATTGTTGTCCAGTGGATTTTGGAATGAACAGTGGCTCAAGCAGCTGCCCTAAGTGATATAACAAAAGTAACAGCAATACAATAGTATCAGTACTGTCGGGATATTCATTCTGTAATGCTAACGAATCTAAACCTGTCTTTCAGAGGCGTCGGCAACCGATAAATTTGTTGTTCGAAGGAGGAAGTATAACAGGGTCAAAAGTGTGCAAGCGAGTTGGGTAAGTTATGGTTTTCTCAATCTTAGTAGTAGGTTTTCGGAATGTGAGATAGGAACTACACAAAAGGACACTTTCTTAACGTTTGCAACAGAAAGGCCTCAAGTCTCTTGTCTGTCATTAAACAGTATGTACAACCAGGAACAACAATCTATACAAACAATTGGAGAACGTTTCAGTGTCTTCACAGATACGGATATATTCATCACGTGGTGATATACAAGCATAATTTTGTAGACCCAACAATTAGTGTTCACACTAACAACGTGGAAGCTATGTGAAAACAAGTGTAAAACTTTCTTCAACCTTATAAGGGATCTACAGGTCAAATGATATGAAGGAGTATATATATATAAATATACCGAGCACATTGTGACAAATCTTGAGAATCCAGAGATTCTAACTAAGTTCATCAAACATATGGAAGCCGTGTATACATTCTAAATTCTTTGATTATTCCACATTGATTTATTCAGATGTATCAACTGTATTCTCGTTGGCTTTAAATTAAAGTTTCTCAAGGGCGTCAATATACTACACTTTTGCCACAAATATCAGAAACACTACACACATCATGAGGTTCATTTCTCTCAAAATCTATAAATTATATTTCGAACCGGCCTGCATCTCTCTTGGTAGATATTAAACTATGAAATCTTCACAATAAAAATACTCACACTTTTTTGTCGAATTGTAAAACTTATAATGTTTGGATATCATATAGTCGATATACTGTCTAACACATCATTTTCTAATTTTCTCCAGTGGTTTAACTTGCCCCATGAGAGAGGAGAACACACTTTTCAGTTGTTAGTATTCGATCACACTTATGAAATTATGTTTAATAAACTATCAGGGAAGATCAAGCTAAACAATTTTTTAAAATTCAACTTGTGATTTGTTAGATAGAACCTTAACCTGTTGTAATGATATGATTTTTTTCTCTTCTCTTGTAACAAAAGGATATGTTTAATTACTTTGATCCTACTCAAACATAAATCCTATTGTTTATATTTAATGGTAGACTGCCTAATACACTGGTTTATTTAAATTTAGTCCCAACTTTTGCAGATAAACAAGTCATTGAATATTTCCAATTTGTTTGAATATATATATATATATTCTTCTGTTCTTTTCTTCTTAGTGACATTTATCTTTGAATTAGTAATTGTCTTGTTTGTTTGTTTGTTTGAAAGTAACATCAATGAGATATGCTCTAAAAGTTTATTCCTTATTTAGTGAATCAGTTTATTCCTTTGTTTGTTTGTTTTTTCTCTTCCTTTTTTTTTCTTAACTCAAACATTCCTTTCCTTAATAAAAATGACTTGAATTCAAAGCCATTTGACCTTTAAAAAAAAATCTGTATAATTTGTTGTCAATAAAACAACACTTTCAACACAGATCAGTAAAATAACTATCTAATTTATAATTGTGATATAATTTTTCTATGGTTTTACAAGTTTACGCAATTCTATCAATTCAATTTGTCTCATATATTTGTTTTTTGAAAATATATTTTCGCGGGTAAATGAGATCACTATCCTAAATGGTTCACCTAACAGGAGTTTTACAACGAATCCCTTATGTTATATGAAATAAACTGTCGTTTATGTGCTAAAACTATTACTCTTATTATCTAGGTTCTAATGGAAGCGCCAAACGCCTCTGTAAGAAATTGTTGTATTTGAAATAAGATAGTCAAATAATTTTCTTTTCTTTTCTAATCTAACAAAGATACATACACTTATAGAGTTGTATATTTTGTAAAGAGGCTTGACATATTGAATTTCTACTTAAGGTAAGAGACAGATAGATTTTATTAGTGTAAAGGGGCTTTAAAGGTTGTTGAGTTTTATGGTTAAAATCAGGAACTAACCTTAGTTGAAAAACCATTGGGTGCTGAACAACTAATTTATCCTAAGGTAGGACTTTTCAGTGATAAGCTGTGTAACTGGGTGTGCAGACTGTGTTGTGATTCGCACGATAATGGTCACAAATAGCTGTAGACGTTAGTTCACAATGCTCAGCATCATTCTCAATTGCACAGGTTCACTCACTCACTACCTTTTCATAGATCCTTAGTTTCTTAATTATTTTAGATCTCTTTTATATCATGAATCCGTACTTTCTTCTCGAACCTATTGTAATATTCTGACATCTCTCTGTGCTAATGGTCTGTATCAACTTGATCCAATGTACATATATACCATATTCTGAGTTTTATATGACTGACTGACCTTACTGTGGATCGAACCCAAAACCTTCAGGTCTGTTGATGGTCGTCTAACTTTTAGAACACTTAGTCTGTATCCACTGGTTTACGTTGTTTAACCTCAGTCAGTTTGCGACTTTGTGCAACCATCTTCCAGTGGCTCTACTGGATAATTGCCTTTGTTTTTTTACTACAATTTACTGGTTAATTTTCAGATATCCATGTTTTCTTTGTGAAATTCATATCAACTTTAACCTCGAAGTAATTTGTTCAGCAATTTGTCTTTACGCTCTACGTTCATCATGTCGTATTGTTTAAGTCATATAGCTTATCCTTTTTTCGATTCGTACCGTTTTTATATACGTTTGTAGACTAACATGTGAGGCACTGGGATCCTGGCTTATCAATCATGAAGTGGTAACCAAAAGCCATCATGATAACTTTGATCACGTTTACACAAACGGCTCTCGGAAAAGTTCTGATTTCCGTACACGAACAGATTCAATAGCACATAGTCATGCGTCTTCAAATGGATGTGGTCTATCAAATGTTACATTTTGGCAGACGATAAAGAGTTTACATGAAGCTCGAACTAATCCAGTTGGTGTAGATCTTAGTGGACTTCAACAAGGACCGCTTATCACAAATACAAAGGGATCAGTCCTTGTTGCTGGTGGAGTATCAGACGCACAGTTTCTATCTTCTGTTGAAGCCTACATTCCAGATAGAGATGAATGGATTTATATGCCAACCATGTTACAAGGTACGATAATGCCTTAGCAAGTATTATTAGATTTCCATTGCAGAAATATTACAGTCATTGTGAAATATAATTGTTACTTTGTATGCACTGATTTCATCATATTCATTTTATTTTTAAGTGGTAGTCTTCAATAGCTCTAACTGTTTGGGAATTCCAAAATATTTGTACAAAACAATAAGGGCTCAGAAGACTCTTGGAAACATTTTATCCGACCAGGATTGAACAGAGGTATCTTCGAAACACCTAGAAGGATGACAGATCACGTGTCAGGTTTTTGGTCGGATAGGAACTTTCTTGATGCTATATCTAGCATGATTTAGAACTTTCTAAACGATCAAGATTACATTAAATAGTATAAAGACGTACGATTTTCCATACATTCCTTAACTTTAAAATCAAGCTTTTTTCACTTGTGTTCAAGTAGTCCCATAGATGATTTAGTTTGCGATTATTAGTAGCGGATAATAAATGGGATCGAGTGTTTAATTATCAAACTTATCATCAACCTCAAATGTCATATCTTTTACTCATTTGGATCATTTTAAAAAAAAATCATTTCGTATCAGAGGACTATCAAAAAAATTTAACGTATTCCCGTTATTGATAAATGAATTATTTGTGATCATACCATAGACGACTGTTATAGTCAGTATGAAATTAGTGTTTATATAATTAATCCAATGAAAACCGACTATTGTTATGTGTCGAATGCTTTCACAAACTGTAATTAACTTATCCCACAAACGAAGTCTAATCGAACCGTGCATATTTCTTTCTGTGACAAAACTGTAGATTTGAAATAGAAATTCCATTGATGCAATGAAACAAAAAGAAACTTTCAAGTTTATTGTCATTGACAAAACATAAAATCTTCTCCTTCTATATATTATGATGTGATTTGATCTCAAATAAGTTTGTTTATGAGAATAAAATTTATTATCTCTCAAGATAACTTTTTCCAACTAGGAATTACTTTCTTACATTCTTTGAATAAATATTATTGTAGCTAACAAACACCCATTATTTAAAAATGAATTTCCCATAAAATGGATATAGTTACATTATAATTGAATTATTAATAATCTGTTTTTTTTCTGTATAATTAAAATAGGTCGTTGTGAAGCATGTGCTAATGTTTTGACATCACGAAATCTAATTGTTGTTATCGGTGGAGTTGTCAATACAAACACTATGTATAATACTAGTCAAAATGTAACTGTTGAAGCATTAGATCCTCGTTGTGATACTTGGTTTTATATTCCTAATACATTAGGCAATTCATTCGGACAACTTCGTGGTGCCAGTTTAACATATTGTCCGAATTCTAAAGGTCAGTATATTCTATTTTAAATCTTATTTATTTATTATTTATTTGAGAACCAGATACATATGCACCACATCGAGGTAGATAAGTGATGTTGTATATAAATAAATAGTAATACTAATAAAGGTGAATTTGAAATGTCTGAATTCTGATCGGAGCGAGCATAGTATTTTGTGAAATAATTATAATCTCATCGAATTCGCGTGAGGGCTGTGATACTGCCCGGGTGCCCAAACCGAAGCAGGTGGTTTTCTTAGAGGGCCACACCCCGAGCCTTTGACCGAGAGGTCTGACCCACATGGCAATCAAACAACGTAAGGAGATGTATTCCCACGGTAGCCGATGACCAATAATTGGTTCATACGTCATATATCCCCTTAGGATACTGAAGCCCATGTGCATCATTGGTTTGGAATCAGAGTTTCCCAACTCCCCTAGGTTGATCCTCTGTGTCCACGAACCTGGTTAAAGCGCCGTACATTCGCTTTTCGTCCTCGGAATTTCGTAAACAACAGTAATGCCGCGAGAAGGCAGTGAGTAGGACTTTCTTGGCAGAGGCTATATACGCGTGACCATGTGAGAGCATTTCGAGAGAGACAGCGGACTCTCCCCACTCTCGGCTACACCGGGGCATTTGGGGGAATTTTAAATCTATACAAATTTAAATAAACAAATAGTTCATATTTATTCGAATACAAATAGAAACATTTCAATGTTTCATTAGTGAACTATTATGATTTAACAACAAACAAACTAACTTCTTAGTATACAAAATCAGTAATTTTTCTTAACAAAGAATTTTTTTTCTACCCAAAATTACTTAATTAAAACATACTTATGTAATGAACTAACTTCAATTAGAAATTCTTTAAAGTTTTCAATAAAACTTTGAAATCGCTTTAATTTCATATTAACTGATTAATTTTCTCTAATAAATCACCATTCTTTCACTTTTGATCATTTTTTTTATATTTTTTTATTTGGAGAGTAGAATGATTTTTTGTTTGTTTTCTTCCTGGTTACAATTCTAAACTTGTCTGTCTAATTATTAGAAAAGTTGTTTTACATTGATTACTCTCTCTCTCTCTCTCGACCTATTTTACTGTTGTGTAGTTGACAAAAAATGGTACTAACTGTTACATAACTAAAAATTTCAAATGCATAAATCTGTACTGAATAAATAAATTCGGTTAACTTATGGATTTAATAGGGTTATATCTTCTAAGTTACATGGTTAAATGATAGAGCTTTCATTGTCTGTCTTAGCAACAACATCATCAGCGCCTACTATTCATCCATTTAAACTTCAGATCTGCTTGTTCTTCGCTAACTTATCTATTTAAATAATCAGTTTACTATTATATCCAATTGTATACTATACCATTCGTTTGTTACCTTTTAGCTATTTTATAAATTTTAGTTACTTTAGTATTTTTTTCCCTTTTATGAAATTTATTCATCTTTTCGCAAATCTTACAGTGAAACATTCATCATTTTGTTTATTTCTCTCTGGAGGAGAATTTTGTTCATTCCAGTTCATTAAAGTTCACCAGTGATCAATTAAGTTGATCATATATACATATATAATAAGTAGTGTTTATCAGTTTTTACAAAATAGTTTATGTTTAAATCAATCGGACTGTATAAATTATAATTACACAATCTATTCAATTTAATAATCATTCAATTTCTCTTTTTTTCTCTTTAAGACAAATACATCGTCATTTTGTTTAATTTTAAATTGGTTGATTAAAACACAGACACTGTCTACAGTATATTACTTACATACTAACGTGTATTACTCCTTGTGGAAGATTGCAGGCTGCCCACTAACATTCTCCATCGAACTCTCTCTTGAACAATCCCTTCAAGTTGCTATTCATCCTTTTCATATCTGCTTCTATTTCGCGACAAAAAGTGTTCTTTGGCCTTCCTCTTTTCCACTTCCCTTCACCATTCCAAGTTAGCGCTTAACTCATGATGCAGTTTGGTGATTTTCTCAATGTATGTTCTATCCACCTCCAATGTCTTTTCCTAATTTCATTTTCAGCTGAAAGCCGGTTTGTTCTCTCCCACAGTAGGTTGTTGCTGATGGTATCCGGTGAACAGATATTGAGTATGTTGCGTAGACAACTGTTTATAAATACTTGTACCTTCTTAATGATGGTTGTAGTAGTTCTCCAGGTTTCAGCTCCGTATAGTAGGACTGTCTTGACATTCATATTGAAGATTGTGACTTTGATATCGGTTAACAGTTGTTTTGAGTTCTATATGTTTTTCAACTGTAGGAATGCTGTCCTTTCTCTTTGCCAGTCCTCACCTTTACGTCTGTATCAGATTCTTCTTGTTTATTGATAATACTTTCCAGGTACATGAAAGATTCAACATCTTCCAGAGCTTCTCCATCAAGTAAGATTGGGTGAGTGTTCTCCCAGTTGTATTTGAGGATCTTGCTTTTCCCCTTGTGTACGTTGAGGCCTACTGCTGCTACACTGTTTGTCTTGACCTGACCTGCATTTGCTAGTGTGCGTGCGATAGAAAAGCTAGGTCATCTGCAAAGTCTAAATCGTCTAGTTGATTCCGAGCTGTACATTATATTCCGTACCTGCCTTCCGATGTCGAGGTCTTCATCAATCACTCAAGCACCAGAAGAAAGAGAGGGGGAGAGACTAAGCAACTTTGTCTGACTCCGGTGACCACAGTATAGATATTTATTAATTTTTTCCGTCCTGAGCTTAGACAAAAAAGATGATCTCTTATGTTTTAACTAAACAACTGTAACCTAAGATTGTGATGATTTAAAAACAGCATCATTGATTTTTTCACATTAGCATTAGTTTAAGTTCTTTCAACTGGATTCTACTTTTGTCAAATTTGTAGATTGTCTTGTGAAATTGATAAGTTTTGTTTTTTATAATATAAATAGTATTCTTTCGACTGTTACTATTACTAATATTACTATTGCCATCGTGAAGAATCTGTCAGTGGAACATGATATGTACCCAAACGCTTTCCTTACATATTTGAAGTTATCATTTGAGTAATATATATATCATTCTGAATTTATGCAAAACAATTGAAATATGTATTCATTCCTCCTTCCTTTCACAAGATAATAGCTATCTAAACTAAATTGAATTGAATGACCTAATAAAAAACAATTCTCTATTAAATCTCTAATATAATGATTGCATAAAGTATATACGTTAATTTAATTTCTTAAAAACTATCCTTCATCGTTCATAATGAAAAAAACTTTTGATTATTTTAATGTATGAAGCACATGCCAACATTAATAATCATAACAATAGTTATTATTATTATAGGTCGAATAATAATAATAATAATAGTGATAATAATATACTTCAATATGATATTCGCTTTATATACTAAAAACCAATTAAGAATTTAAAGTGCTCTATTATTAACTTTCTGAAATCATCTAATTTCATAAAGTAAATTAAGAGTATGAAGTTATAGATGTTATCAAGTTTTTACAGATTTTACATCATCAACTGAGTGACCTTTTCATCCCTATACTGGACTTTTCAGCTGACACCCATCCATGATCACGCACAATAGAATCGAACCAGAGAACTTCAGTCTTCCACGCGAACACTTAACCTCTAGACCAGTGAGCCAGGACGCAACAGTGTTAATGTCTAACTTTAATCAATCCGTGACACCAGTCGACCATCTTCCATCGTCCTCGGTAGGTAATCGCCTCACATTCAACACAGTTTAGCTTCACTGGTCTTTACTTTGTAGGTACGCACTGCTGAAAAGTCCCATACTAGGATTGAACGTCTATTTAGTGCTTCCATATTTTCATTGGGGGGTCTATTTTATTTTATTTTACTTGAACACATTTATATTGGTACAGGAGTGCGCCAAATATATATGCGCCACACAATTTCAGTTCATTAATTGCGTGTGGGCTGCGATACTGCCCGGGTGCCCAGACCGAAGCAGGTGGTTATCTTAGGGGGCCACTCCCGAGCCTTTGACCTAAAGGTCCAACCCACAAGGCAGTGGAGCATCGTGAGGAGATGCAGTCCCATGGTAGCCGGTGACCGAAAATTGGTTCATACGCCATTTGTTCCCGCATGATACTGGTGCCCATGTGCACCATAGATTTGGAATCCGGTTAAAGCTCCGGACATTCGCTTTTCGTCCTCTCATTTTTGTAAACAACACCCCTGGTGAGAGAAGGCAGTGAGTAGGACTTCCCTGACAGAGGCTGTATACGCGTGGCCGTGTGGGAGTATTTCGAGGGGGAGAGCGAACCCATCCTGCTCTCGGCCATACCAGGGCGTTTGGGGGCATTGGGGAGTCTAACCTAGATTGGTTCATGATATCAACACCATTAAATTAAATTTAACCAAGTCTTTTAGCTACACGTTTTGTTCTTTTTTGTATTGTAGAAAGTATGAAGAGTAGTGATATTGACATTCCGTTTGCAAGTCAAATACCGTTTGACCCTCACCATTATATTCATCATTTATTATTTTTGTGCGGAATCAATTCATTAGTTTTAAGGACAATTAGGAGTAGATAACATTTTCGATAATCGATGTGACTCTGTTTTTGGAACCAAGCTCAATTATACAATGTTAATTAAAGACATGATACAGTTACACTTAGAATCTCAAATTATATTAACATCCACTCAAGATCATATCAACTAACATGCTTTACAATCAATGTTACGTTTAACAAGTGTGTAATGTTTATTTCAACTTGTTTTAAATAATCGGGGTTTTTTTATGAAGTGAAGTTTTGTTGTTAGAATTTCGTCATATTGTTAACTTTTTCTCCATATTGACAAACTTATTATTTTTCTTAAGAATTAGAATTACTTTGTTTTGAAGCAGTGATTCATGTTACATTTGTCTATTTTTGCAGTTCTGTTTAGTCGGTTGGCATGAGTTCGTATTCCTCAGGGGATTATCAGTGCCCACAAAATTTGGTTTGTTAATAAATGTCAACTAGCTTTAAACCCCTAGGTTAAGGAGAGATTTATATTAATCTTTCGAAAATTTATATCATACAATTATTCTTTTCATTTCGGTGTTTTTATTTTACAATCTATAGATAATTTGCTATTAGTTGGTGGATATAATGGTCATGAAACGTTAGATACTACATGGATATTTGATTCAGTTGCTTGGAAATGGCGTTCAGGACCAAATTTAATATTTGCTCGTTCTAGCTGTTGTACAACATTGACATCAGATCAACGTTATAATTTAGTATTTGGTGGTTATAATCCATTGAAATTTAACACTGGATTTTCAGATACAATTGAAATGATCTTCTAAACAAAATAATTATTTTTCTTACTTTTTTGTTATTCTGTTAGTCTTTTTATGTTATTACTTCATTTGTTTCTGTTTTTGTTTTTTCTAATCCTTAATCACACTGAATGGCGTTACCGGTTCTGTTTGGTCTCATTATATTATACTGTTGTTTATACCTCTCATTTGTGTATGTCTAGCTATCAAAATGTCTATGTCAGTAGTGTTCACATGGTATGTCACTATTTTATGTTTTGAAGGTAATTTCACATGACTTACACACATACACACTGTCTATGTATGTATGATACATATTTGTGTGATAAAAAAGTTTTATGTGCGTGCACACTTTCTTTTGTGTACTAGAGTTTTTATCTTTTCTTCAATTTTACCAGTAGTAGACTATTTCATCATTCATCTGCACGTATATTCATCAATAACAGTAAATAAAATATTGTAGACTGTAATTTGATTTGCCACTCATACATAACCGGGTATCGTATATATATTCAAGCTGCCATACCGTTTCGATGTAGCGATGTCAATCTAGTAAAACCAATTTTATAGTAGTCGAAGTAGTAGTGTAGCGTATGCTACTTATGTCGATAGACGTAAGTAGTATGTAACATAAATCGGAAGTGGAAAGACTAGCAGCAGAAGGCTAATGAGATTGAGTTGAAGCGAACTGAATGAATAATAGAAAGGAATTGTACACTGGAAGAATCATACAGAAGTGTGAAGAAAAATGATGGAAATTTGCAAGTGAAGTATGCATATTTTACCAGGATATTCTGTAGCTTTGTATGAAACAATGAATTGGTTTTCCCTACCTGAGTTCTCGTTCAAAGTGGTCACGGTATTCATAATAAATATGAAAAGAAATAGTAGAACCACAGAACAAAGAATGAGTTTGTGGATTGAAATGTATGAAGCAATTCTTTAGTTTTGAATTGAAGCGTAGACAACTAGCAGATAAATTAGCATCACCCCGAACATTTATAAGCTGAATCACTCAGTCTCTTAAAAAGTCGATCACAAAAGTCGGATAGTCTGCACAGTTCGGCAATAAATAATCTCATAAGCTAATTCTACGTCTAACCTCTTCCTACAACAGAAAACATGACTCGTTGAGGTAGGCAGTGCTCTGGCATACATAACACATGTCCTAACCACCTCATTAGTCGACACACCATCTTCACCTAATACCACGCATCTGACTTCACTTCAATATTGCACACTCAATGGCCCTACATAAAACAGCACTGCTATGAAGACAACCATAATCAAACACTAGTAACCCGTGAAAATCCTATAAGCTCACGGGAAACATTTCACAGTCATAAAAGTAGAACAGACCGAAATGCCATTTAGTACATCATTCCTTGTCTGGCAGATGGACATCTATCTCACTCACGTCATATATGAAGCAAATTTGAAAAAGCCAAGAGAGCTGTTTGAATCGGTGTCGATATTTCGTAAAATACCAGTCGTTACCACTGATGAGACTTCGGAGAGATGTGAGGTGATCGAATCATCCAAACTACTTCATCATATATTGTTAGGTTAGGAGTTCACTCAGACCAGTCATGAAGCAACATTCTGTGCTTAGTCAGAGTTCTCGTGAAACAGAACCATTATGAGAGTCTTTAGTTCCTTAGTTGGACAGATTATTCACGAAGCTTTATGGGTCAAGAGAATAATCTGCTAGACAGTTGTGGAGAAATCTTAATAAACCACTACTTATAGGAGTGTGCGCTCATGTTATACTTAACGACTCAGTCATTTCTGTCCTTCGTTTTCTAGCATTTGATTTATCATGTATCGCTTACTTAATTTTCTGAGGTTGAATGGTTATTATTCATTCTTACATCTGAGGTTGGTTGGACTACATATTGGTAGTCTATAAGCGTATATTTTCTTTTGTATCTATAGTTACATGGGAAATATATGTGTCTATAGAAGGATAAAAAATTGATTCTATACTCATTATTAGATGCGGTTACACAGTTATCAAGGGATTAGAGAAGAATATGAAGATGAAAATAATTTCTGGGTGAGATAATTGTCCAATTGACTGATATGAAGAAAAAAAATATATAAAAGTCATAATAACAATAACTGATTACAGTTTAAAATTACAAAACACTAATTTATAGAAATTAATAATGATGAATGAAAAGAAAACACTATAAAAGGAAATTAGGGCCAAGGAAGGATAAGAGTTTGGACGAATCGTTTTTGCACTCAAAGTTCGGGTTTGAGTTGATGGACTGCCTATGCCTCAGCAGTGTATAAAATATTGATTCGACTTCCCTTCGATCCTGTTCCTTTGGCTGTAGATTATTTTAAAAGAAGACTACTTTGGAGAGATGTATCCATAGTTGATTAAATGTCCCTGTATAGAACTAGTACTTGTTTTACATTCTCCTTTTAAAATCCACGCCGGTTAGTATTCTGAGATGAGTTTGGGAAGTGATCGCTTCGTGCGGCCAATGTAACCTGCTCCACATGAGCAAATTTATAGATGCATACTGATGTGGCCCTTAGCGGAAGTTTATCCTTAACACATCCATGAATGGTAGGCCGGCTTGAGTAAACAATTCGGAGCTTAGCGGAGTTGAACGTTTTACTCAACGGTTTCAAAAGCCGTCTAAGTTTTTAGCGGCCGTACCTCTTTTAGATTCCATGTTCATAAAAAGTTTTCTTTTGTACTGTCGGTGCTTTTTCAGGATTAAGTCTAGGTGTTAAGTTGTTTTCGATGAATCTAGGTGGGTAACCATTCTTTATGATTGTGTTGAAGTAGTTCCTCATCTATTGTGTCAGTAAAACATATTCGTCTAATCCTTGAGGATAAAGAGTGAATTAAATTCCTCTTTCTACTCAGTGCAACCCAACTATTGAAATTTTTGTACTGCTTATTACAAGTCGGTTTTTTATATATAAATCGCTGTAAAAAAAACTATCCGACCTTCTATTGAATCGAACATCAAGAAAACGTAATTCCTTGTTTGCCTCCACTTTCAAAGTCAATTGAATTGAGGGGTGATAAATATTGGAACTATTCAAAACTCCATATCTTCACAAATAATGCAAGTATCATCCACATATCTCTTATATAAATGAAATCTCTCAATTACTGGTCCAAGTACCCTATTTTCCAGATTGGCCACAAATCAATCAGCCAAGAGAGGACCAAATCAAGAGACCCATTGCAACTCCATCTGTTTGCTTGTAGAAATCATAATTAAATCTAAATTGCACATTGAGAATACATCATAGAAGTAGCTCTTTTAGATAATATTTTGGGATACAAATATCAAAGTTATTGTTTTCAATATAGTCACATGAAAAACATAGTTTCTGTGTGAGGAACATTTGTAAAAAGAGAAGTGACATCCAATGAGATCATTTTCTTCATATCTGTCAAATGGACAATTATATGACCCGTAAATTATTTTCATCCTTACATTCCTTCCTTATCCCTTGATTTGATAATAAGAGTCTCGAATGTATTTATGATGCAACCTTTTCTATCCTTCTATAGACATATATTTCGATAATGCAATAAGAAGACAAAGATTATCAGAACTATGTAATTATGTTTGTCCTCTACTCTTATTGGGTCACTTGATTCTGCAACCATTTTGGTACATGTACCACACACTAATTTTGAGATCACAGGCCATAAGATTGATCTTAACTCAGCTTTTGTGGTGTTGTATAAAGGTGTAAAAGGGCATCTGCTAAGGTTTATTGAAGCCTTAACCATACGAAAATTCAAACCCCATCTACGTATTTATCAAAAATAGTTTGTTCTCATCTTAAATCTACCCTGGTAATATTAGCTTGTTATCCAGAGTGAGGAGATTTCAAATTGTTTTCATATTTTTTTGACTGAGATCATGAACCGATTGATGTTAGACCACCATTGAAAACCTGGTGGTCTAACATCAATCGGTTCATGATCACAATCAAAAACTTAACAATCTCCACAACCCTTAAACGGATAATTATCACATTGTGTCATATTTTCAATCAATGTAATCACTTTTCATTATCAATAAACATTAGGTTACTAAAATCACTAATGGACGAAATAAAACTCAACATTTCACTGATAATTAGATGAGCTGATTATTTCAAGATAATACATTTTGAAAACATTAATTGTAAGCGTAACTTATTAGTCAATTCATTTCTAATACTACCTGTTTTATATGTTTAAAACAATTGGAACATTGAATTGTTTTGAAGACGTTCACATTATACTGGTGTTGTGACTTTAGAACCCGGTTAGTTATCACATAATTTATTCGCCAATCGAAATACGACTTATTTAATCTTAGTACTGCGCTAAATCAATGACGTTCGACCAGTATGAGCAGCCTAGCGTCCTTATTGGTCATTTAATCGCCTAGCCCGTCCAGTTGAGCCCAGAACACCAATAACAGCTCCTACTATGCGACAAACAGATCGCATCGCACCATAAAATAGGATATAACATTCATACAAGATCAAGCCAAAAACTGGCTGTGAATGTGAGAGACCATAATCAACAAACTGAACATAACTTAAGAACAGTAAGTCGTATATTAGTAATCTATATGTCAAAATGAAGCTTATAATAAGAGGAATATAGATATACCCATTCTAGTTACTGAATAGTTATACAATAACAATATGAAATATTAGTCCATGAATAGATCTCAGTGGTTATCTGTAATTTAATCTTCACAAGTATATAACAGATAGAATTCGACATGTTCACGTTATTCTAATTTATTTCGCAGACAAGATTTTTCACAATTATACATCACTGTATCAAATTTATTACTTCGGAAATAATTTAAGTTCGTTTATCCAATGAACAAATTAGAATGCAGTTCCACTATAGTAAGTGCTACTGATGTCGGCAGATATAAGTAGTATATATCACCAGTCGAAAATGGCATGCCTGGCTGTAGACGGCAGAGAAAATCGAAGAGAAAAATAATCGAGAACCGAGAGTGATTGGTGTTAAAACGAAGGAACAACAAAATTTGAGACAATTGGTCGATATTTTGCAAAATGGTGTATTTACTGTATGATTCTCAGACTTTATCAAGATATTCTATACTGTGTTAAAATACATTTGATTGTTCCATATGGTGTTCTCATTCATGACATCATTATTATTATCTTGTCACTGGTAAAATTTAGGGACAAACTAATTTGCTGTAAATATTTGAAATGTGTTCACAAATGATTGATCACTGGGTGGTGATCAATGTCATGCTTGTCTAGTCCTTATTAGTGCAGATCGAATGCTATCGATCATGTTGCAATGTGGCCACCAGTCTAGGTGACTCGACACTGCGGGCACTATGTATTGAGATTAGATGGTGGTTGGAGGTAGTCAACAGGAAACCCTGGACCCAGGTTTCGTGCTACTTGGCACTCGTCAGTAAGGTGTACCTGTAATCTTGAG